ATGCCATGGCACTCTACCCAAGGGGACAGCTTGAGGCTCCGTCTCAAAAAAAAAAAAAAAAAATTAAATTAAAAAAGAAAAATTAGCTCTCAGTTGATTTCTTGCTTATGTCAAACCCACAGCACTTCATTGTTACTTCTTAAGGTAATCGTTAATTTTGCTCTGCTCTGCATGGTAGCCACTGGCACTTGGCTCCTTACTAGGAGGGTATGGCGCACCTCATCCATCACTGTGCACTCCAGAGCTCGGAGTGGAGCCAAGCACATGGCTGATACCCAACATGCCATGGGACTTAGCAGCATTTGGAAGCTAAATCCTGAGGCTGCAGGAGACAGAGCACGGGATTTGGGTTCAACCACAACTAGGTTTGAATCCATGTCATACCATGTACTAGCTTTTAAGAAGAGTCACTTAACTGTGTAAGCCTCCATTTCTTCACCTATAAAATAGGGATATTAATACTAAATTGGTTTGATATTTTTAAGTAGTATCAAAAATACATGTGGAAAGTACTTAGCATAGCAGGTTCCCATAAATGGTAAAAGGAGAAAAGCACTGAACTAAGATTATAAAATCCCAAATTCTAAACCCGGCTTCCTTACTGGGTGATTCTACATAAACCATTTGGTTTCCCTGAGACTCAGTTTGCTCATGAGGACGGGGATTTTGTGATTCACCAAACACACAGTGCACACCAAATACAAGGTCCCTAAGAGAACACTCCTCCTTCCACTGCAAATATTCATCCCAAATGTTAGTTCCTTCCTCCCTCTCCTCTCTTCTAGCAACAGCCACCGGCCAGCCTTTACAAAGAAATGCAGAATCAATTGCACACCAGCCCTATTTCTCCCTCAATTCTTGTTTAGCTATAGTCCCTGAGATTCTACGAGTGAGGTGAGAAATCAATGTTACATCAATGAGTCATCATTTATAGCTCAGTTCCTGAGCTGCCTCCTAAAGCAGCCAACTCCTTGACACCAAGACAGGCACGAATAAAACCTTCAGAGGAAATGGGCTGTTGGTAGTGAGGAGTAGGATGCATACACACCAAGTGTAGGGGAGAACTGAGTCATCACGATGACATCTTCCTACTCTGGGAGCCTGTGATTCAGGTGTGAGTCGCAACTGAGAGTATGTGGACAGACCATGTGACTCGGGCAAGCGCTGGACAGCTCTGCCTTCATTTTTGAAGCTGCAAATAGGGACACATAGTGACCCTGGTCATGCATGCTAAGACTGAAGTGTGGCTGAAAGACACTGTGTGGATACCGTCAGCTATTAGGATGCCCGTGTTATTTGCCAAAATATAGAGCTGTACTTTATACACAGTTGAGGAATGCATGCATTTATGAGATAATGTCACTTCAACACAATTTTGGAAATAGAGGCTTCAATAAACAAATAACTAAAATCAGATTATACAGGGAAAGCTGTCTAGGAAAGCTGTAAGAGCCAGGCGCAGTGGCTCACACTTGTAATCCCAGCACTCTGGGAAGCCGAAGCAGGTGGATCACTTGAGCTCAGGAGTTCAAGACCAGCTGCAGCCAGAGTATGACCCCATCTCTAAAAAAATTGCTGGGCATTGTGGCATGCACCTATACACCTATAATCCCAGCTACTCAGGAGGCTGAGGCAAGAGAATCTTTTGAGCCCAAGAGTTTGAGGTTGTTGTGAGCTATGATGCCACAACACTCTACCCTGGGTATCAAAGTGACACTCTGTCTCAAAAGAAAAAAAAAAAGCTGGAAGACTCTATACGAAGTATTTTTTTAAATTATTATACTATTCCAAATACATATTTCAAGCTATTTTATACCCTCAAAAGTTTCTGAGATTGATGGAAGCAAATTGATTAATCCATCCTAATGATTTTTTAAATGGGTTTGGCTTTAGGTATAACTGTGGGAAAGGCTGTCTACACTGAGCTCTGGGAAGAGTGTTCAAGTCAGAGTCAACAAAATCCAGATCTGGACCTTCTGGCTCTGCCCTCTTTAATCAGCTTTACCCAGCCCATTTAGAAATAGAATCTAAGAAAATTCCCTTTCTGGCCCAGGTATAACAGATTTTGGTCCTATCTTCAAGCATTTTCCTTTTCTTGCCCTGAGAGCCTATGCCAGGGCTCTTCTGGGACTCAGCTCCCCCAGCCAGTGCCAAGGATACATAACCTCAGCTCCCAACTCTGCAGAGCCCAGCCACTTTCACTCTTTTGCCTGGACTACTGCTAAGGGAGAAAAGCCCACCAGGGCCAGGTCACCTACCTCCTAGCACCTCGCAGTCACTGTCCATGCTGTCGTGCACGCCTGCAAAGATGTTGGCCAGAGTGGACTTGCCCACCCCCTGCTCCCCTATAAGCACCACCCGGTAGTAGGTGTTCCCCGACTCGGAGGAGATGACTGAGTCTGTGGAGTCAGAGGACCAGCTTTGGCGGTAGTGGTCCTCAGGGGCAGCAGAGTGGCGGTTGTGGTGGCTGTACTGGTGGGGCTCTTTCTGTACCATCAGATGCCTGCCATCAGCCGGAACGCTCCAGCGCTGCTGCTGCGGCTGCATGCCCACAGTGCCCTGGCGCATGGTGACATTATTCAGAGTCATCGTTGGGTCCTAGGGAGCAAAGCAACCAAGATGCCTTAATAAGCAAGAGAGAGCTCAAACACACAGTCAGTCACTGTGATAACTTATTAGATGGGGTGAGAAGCGAGTATCTAATATAAGGAGCACCAGTAACAATCCCCAAACCCCAACAACCCAGGCTGTCAACTGGACATGCACATACACTCCCCACACCAGGGGTAATCAGTTCCTCAGACAGACTGTCATGTGAACAGAGAAAAAACTATCATTAACAACAAATAACTACCATTAACATCGCCCACTGCCCGTATGCTTCCTCCATCCTCAAAGAAGCTTTGGGGTCCCTGCTCAAAGCAAGCAGAAAAGCAGCTGGAAGGAACTACCAGTTTCAGAGATAGCTTGAAAAGCAACAAGTTATGTTGCTGGGGACCAGCTGGCCAGGTTAGCTGCTCTTGTCTAAACTTGGCTCTTTATTGCACCAGCGTCCAGCAGGCTTTTGTGCCTGGGTGGGAAACACGTGGCAATGACATCACTCCCCTTGGCTGCACAGGACAGCCACTTATTGGAACTTCCATGTTTAGTAAAGTTGCAGTGATGCTCTCCAGCTGCATGAACAGATCATTACGGGGTGTGATGGGGGGATTTGTTTCAGGTTCATGCCTTAGCTCCGCCCTCTTCCCCACAGACACCACTTTGAACACCCCAGCTCCAAGCCTAGTCATTCTGGCAGGGCAATGACCTGCTTGCATTCAGACCCATCAAATATGCAGAGAAAGAGCTTCACTCTTAGCAAACCACATCCACTCCTAAAGTTTTCAGCCCAACTCAGATTCCCACCTTCTTGAAGCAAATCAGAAGGCTGTCTTAAATGACTTTCAGCAACTTCTCTACAACTTTCCCTTGGCAGGACTGCCTCGCCTTGCCCGGCGCTCTGTTTTTCCCGGGTACTTAAGATAAAGTAGACGCCTTCGCACGTGAATCAGCAAGAGCCACTCCTGGGAGGGAGGACCGCACAAACACTCCTCTCCCCGCCTCACCCCACGCGCCACACCCCACACCTCGGCCGCTAACCTCGGTTTTAAATCTTAAACCAGCGCCTTGGTTGTCCGACTTGCATTCAAACGACAAAAGCATTAAGCATCACTGGGGACTGCCCTCTGACCGCCCTCCCCATAGTCTAGAGAAGGAGGCGATCCTCCCACCAAAAAGAACTAAGGAACCTGCGGACGAGAAGTGTCATCCTTTGCACCCGGAGCTCTACCCCCACCAGAAAACCACCGCGCGGACCGCACGGTCCAGGGCTCTTTCCTCAACTTAGAAAGTTCTGCGGGGCTGGGAACGCCCACTGTCTCGCTCCCGGGGCGCCCCCTTACTTGGCTTGGCCGGGTGGGCGCCGCTGTGTCCGCGCGTCGCGTGTGTCGGAGCCGGGATCCCAGGGCCGCTCCGCGGTGCCCGCCGTCCGTGCCGCCGCCCGCAGCCGCGCGGCCCGCGCCTTATAACCGCCCGGCGGCCCCGCGCCCGGGCTTTTCCGTGACGTCAGCGCCCCCGCCGGGAGGGGGCGGCTCTGCAGCAAAGTCCCAGCGGCGGCCACTTGGCTAAATCAGTTACTCGCAGTCACATGACTGACTCCCCTCTCTCCTTTAAAAAATAATGACAGTTCAATCCTGGGCCTCTTTTATTTTATTTCTACCAGGTGGACACAGGAAAATGGAAAAATACACAAAGTGCCGCTGGGTATATCACCCTTCCCAGCAGAGTACTTGCGAGCTGTCGGGATAAAGGATGGAAGAAGAGGCAGATTTGAATTGCGAGCTCAGCTTTGCCAAGAAAACAGGGATCAACGGGAGTCGTGGAGACCTTAGCTTCTGGGGTGGGGCCGTAGCCACCTTGCATGGCCAGGGCTTGATTCGGCCGCATCTTCTGCCTCCTGTCACCTTCTCTCTGTAAGGTGGGAGGGAAGAGAGAGCCCCTCAGGCTTTGTTTCCCTCCTCCCGTAGGGACCCAGAGAGAAGCGGCCAGACAGAAGTGAGGGAAGGGGACATAGACCTTGAAAATAACTGGGAAAATAATTAAGGGCCCAAGCAGATTGTGCTAAATATTGCTGGCCTTCCTGCTCTGGGCCGAAGACTGAGACTCCTCCTGGATCAGGGAATTGAATCAGCATCCCAATCAGCTGCATCTCTGACCAGGCTCTCCCTGGCACAGCGCGGGCCAGGCGTGAAGCCAAGGCAGCCTGACCATGGGGAGGAGGGCGCAACCCAAGTCTCTCCCCGAGGACTCCTGTGAATAAAGGGCACAGGATAACAGCTATTCCTACCACTCACAAAATACCTCTGAGGACCTGCACTTAGTAGGCACTGTTAGGCTACTTTAATCCTGGCAAAGTGGATACAACTACTACCTCCATTCTACAGAAGAGGAAAATGATGCAAGACCTAAGAATATGTCCAAGGTCACAGCTGGTATAAGTGTCAGACTCAAGACTCAAAACCTGGTTTGTCTGACTCTGCACTGCAGGGGAAGGGTTTAAGTGACCTCTGCCTGGGGATATAGCATTTCTCAAACTGTGTTTAATGATGATCCTGGCCTTTGCAACACATCCATCCACTTTTCCAGCCAGCTTCATCTTTGGGTTGGCTGGTGGCTCCAGGAAGCTGCCAAAAGCAGCAGAGTCTATAAAAATGGCTGGACTCTGCTATGATCAGAGCCGAGTCTCAGTTATCCCGCAGGCATACATGTCCTTTAGGAATTATCTAGGGAACCAGCTGCTGAGGCCTGCCAGGTCCCAGGATGGCAAAGGTGGAATCCACAGAGTAATAAAACTCAGAGTTCCTTTACTCTCAGGTGTCCTGGCCCCTGTCTCTACTTATCTTATGCATAAGGAAACAGAGACCCAGAGAGATGACGCCCACTCAGGAGATGGCAGAGCTGAACTAGAACCTGGGATCAGGCCCAAGCCATTGAGGAAAAGGGGACATTATGCAAAGGTTTTCCCTTTTCTCTAACAAAGAGGTAGATTATAGACCAGGCACTGAGTAGGCAATGCCCATCACTTCTGTCAAGTTTTTCTTCTGGGCTTAGCCATAAGGAAATGGTCATAGATGTGGGGAAAGGAAAAGAGAGCAAGAGGGGCGGGACAGAGAGAAGACGAGAGAGAGAGAGAGAGAGAGAGAGAGAGAGGACGAGAGAGAAAGAGAGAGTCTCCAAGGGTATATGTCACTGACTCCATTCTAAACCACACATCATGGGTGAATTTTCTGCATTTCACAATTATCCATGCCCCTGCCATGGTGAGCCTCGTATACTGCCAATTTATCTGAACATTATGAGAGTGAAAACTAAGAATAAATCAGTTTATACACATATGATATAGTCTCTCAATTCTGCTTTTGTCCATTGACAAGAACTTATTACTTCATAAGAATCTAATTCTATGCCCAGGAATATCTCCTATGAACTATATTTCACTGGTCTATGTGAAACCAAAGAAGATGAACTCTAAAAATTGGGGAGGAAAGGCACAGCAATGTTGTGTTCGGATAAAATAATCTGCTTATTAAAATTTTCTGTCCCAGTAGAAGCCCTGGGAAGAAAAATGAGAAAACAACTACTTAGGAAAAGTTTCAACTGTATGCCAGTTAAGTTAGAATGACTATTTAGAGAAAAAATCTGAGTTACCTCTCACAATCAGCACTTTGAGAGCCCAACATGATCCAGAGGAGTCCCAGCTACCTCATCTGGGATTCCAGCCCATTGGGACCATCTGAGGGTGGGGAGCTGGAGAAGAAAGGTGGAATCAGGTCGTTTGGGCAAGTGGCAAGTTCTGAAGAGGAAAAATTGGCTTAATATTGTAGTTTTTTGTTCTATGAATTATTCTGTCTGTATTCTTTCTGCCAACATTTGCGGCTTCCTCGGTGTCTAGCTAAAATGAGTAGCTCAAAAGTATAGCAAAGAGGAAGAACTCAAAGCAAGAAAAACAACTAGATTTACTGAACAAAATCCATGCCTGTCTCAACCCGTATCACTGCTATAGTTGCCCACCTTTTATGGAGGAAGGTGCCGAGGAATGAGATTAAGTAACCAGCCAATGTCATGGACCTGTTAGGTGGCAAATCTGTGCTTCCAGGGGCCACAGTTTTGACAACTTGTCCTCCTTAGAGTAGGGAACATGCTTTAGCCCTTGTTCTCATGCTAGCCCCACCTTGGCCTACTACCTCCTCAACTCCCCTCAAAAGAGAAGTTTTTATATGATTGGTCAAAGCCTATGACCTTCACTGTGCCACCTGCTCCTAGGGGGCAGGATCACTCTACTTAAAGGTATGAGCCATGCTTTCCTCTCTCTTCTCTCCACGTCCCTGTCCTAGGTAAGAAGGTGAACTTGGACTCCCTTTGGGGGCCTGCCCACCTCTGTCACCATCACTGTCTTTATCTTGGTGTGTAGACTTGAGCAAGCAGATCTCATGATTTCAAATGAGAAGAGAGGGGGAGGAAGGAGATGGGACCATGAACAAGGCATGGGGGCTTGCACAACCATAACATAATATTCCTTTGAAAACCACCTCTCGAAAACTCTAAAGAAGGAGGGATGATGGGCAGGTCCCAGCGTCTGTTCACGCCTGGATCTATAATGCTATTCTAAATGCTGTAATTCTATTCTAAAAGAAACAGAATCAGTCACTTAGTCTGGAACATTCTACACTGCCTCATCTATTCTACAGACTGACTACACCCAAGGTTGTGTTTGCCCAAACCATTGAGTCAATGCTGCCCAGTGGAAAAGGGAACACTGTGCAAAGGTTTTTCCTTTTCCTCTAACAAAGAGGTAGATTATAGGCCAGGCACTGAGTAGGCGATAAAATAAATGGTGGGCTTTTTTTTCCCCCCATTGCCCTTTAAATGTTTTGTATTTTAATGTTTTTAGGCAAGGAAAGCTCCAAGAAGTCCCCACAGTTTTTACTAATATCTAATATATTCTGCTCCAACCTGCTTCTGCCCTACTATCTACCTGGTCCCAGAAGGCATTTGGCTTTGTGATCCTTACCTCCCCTGAAAGAACAGGCAGGGGATTTAACATGAGAAAAGCAAGTTCAACCCCAGGCCCTCCTCTCCTTGTCCATGTGATGCTGGAGATGTCACCAAACCTCTGAGGCCGTGGGCACTGCTATTCTAGAGAGTGAAGAGCAGCTGACTGTGGAAGTGCTTGTTAACCACGGAGCACCGGGTCGGCGAGCATGATGATGATTATGACGCAGGAGCCAAGGATTGAAGCGGCCACCTGCCCTCGGTTTCGCTGCCTTTGAGGGCTCAAGTTAAATTAATCCAGCAGAATTCAGGACACATGAAGTGGAAGGAGGAAAGAGGGGAAATGTACTCATCATATTAGATATTACTAGGAAAAAATAATTAGCAAGGAGTTTGTTGAAACAAACAAGAAGGTGGAGACCAAATGCCCAGTACACATCATAGATATCTACCAGCCACAGAAATACTCAGGCAAGGAGCTGGGTGGGAGGCTGAAAGTGTCTGAGCACAAAAAGAACCACCCACCCACTCTGGGAAGACTAAAGAAGGAAAGAATTACTATACGGAAAATTGTTGCTTTATAGGAGGAAAAAAAGGCTTCAATTGCAAAATCAAGAGAGCCCTGATTAAGAGAAAATAAAGACTGAAAAAAAGATGGCTAAGAATAACCTCCCAGCATCCAGAGGCCTGGGAGATCCAGATGGACGGCCCCTCCAGCTGCATCCTCCTCAGACCAGCCCCCAGCTGCTCATCAGACTCCTGCAGAGCAGATTTAATTTTCCATTGAAAAATTCTTAGCGATCCCCCTCCTCCACTCCATTAGCCCAGCCTGCTGCAGGCCTTTGCAGCTCCAGTGGCAGAGCTGGCTAGAGCTCTTCCTCTAAAACCTGCAGAGAAGTGCAAAATTATCTCAGAAGGCTGAGGGAGCCTCCTAAAGAAAGCAAACATTTTCTGCTCAGCTTCCTCAATTCATTTATTCATTAAACAAATAATGATTGAGTTTCTACCATATGCAAGACCTGTTCTAAGGGCAAAGGATAAGATCCTTACATTCATGGAAATCCCATTCTGATAGGAGAAATAATTAATAAATAAAGCATCACCACATTTATTCATTCATTGATGTTCCTTCTCTGAGTGTCCCAACCTTTAGTTTCAGTTTTGTCATCTGCAAAAAAGAGAGGGTAATACTGGAAAGGAAATAGAAAGCAGGGGTTGAGGGCATGCCCATTCAGAAGTCTAACAATGCCCAGGTTAGGGAAAATGTGAAGAAGAGTTGTTCTCGTGGCCAGCTGGAGGGAATGTAAGTTCATATGGCCACTTTGGAAATCAATCATCAACATTTAAGATGCGTATATCCTTTGTGACCCAGCCATTCCACTTTTAAATGTAGAATTTT